TGTTCTATGTCACTGTAAAAAGTATTACCGGGCAATAAACGTTGTTAAACTTTCTCTATTATTATAATTAATTTCCTACAGGTTGTATTATAACGTTTTTTCCCGTGGGAATGAGATAATCTCCCGCAGTAAAAAGTAGCCTATGTCACTCTCCAGCCCTCCAACTATATCCATACAAAAAATCACGCAATTGATCATTCCGTTTCGACGTGAAAGAAGGACAGACAAACAAACACACTTTCATATTTATAATATTAAGTATGGAAGTATGGTTATGGAAATATTAGTATGGATAGTAACTTAACTGTGTGTTTTTTTTAAAACTAGGACTGTAACGTATTGTGTACAAAATAGTTGTGTAGACTCCAAAACTATAGTTATTAAAATTTTTGTCTGTATGTCTGTTTATCTATTTGTCGGTTTGGGTGTGCGCGTTTCACGCAAAAACTGCTGAACCCATTTTAATTAAATTTTGTGTAGAAATAACTTATTTCTCGGGTCAACATTTAGGACCCCTTTTACTACAGGAAAATGTTTCATTACTATAAGAAAACACAATAACTGGTTCTATCGAGTCTTTTAAAAAGTCCCATAGAAGTGCGCATTGGCATAATTGTCTATCTCATAACGTACACTTGCAATAACTATTTTATATCTAACTAGCGACTCACGTACGTACCCTCGCTTCGCTTCGGGTACGAACCCTATAGCCTTCCTCAATACACTGGCTATTTAATGTAAAAAGAATTTTTCAAATCGGATTAGTACTTCCTGAGATTAGCGCGTTCAAATAAACAAACCAACTCTGCCTCTTTATAATATTAGTGTAGATTTAAATGTACCTAGGAACGTAAAAGTCGCTAGTATCGAAATAATTTTAACTTTTCTAGATCATTAGTATTAATCATCCTCGTTTATTTCGTCCTATTTTATTCTAGTGGCTGTTTATGTTACTTGATAATTAGGACGGACCGATAAGAAAATTATTTATGAAATTTGATATTAGATATCATTTTGATTTATTGGTTGTGTAGTTTATTTTATTTCTGTTAAAAGTTCTATCTTAGTATTTAAAGTACTGAAGAATACTTATACAGTCAGTTTCTTTTGTTCTTGTAGCAGTTTTGTACGCTCTTGGAATATAAATTGTTTGTTGTAGGTACGTTCCTCATGCATAACGTGTTTATATGCATACTTTGTTTAACTTATTACTTCTTATCTCCACCTGTATAAACCTAGGATAGATCCTAGATTTGTAGAGTTCTGCAATATTTGTCCAGTAGCTTTGATTGGCAAGGAATTCGCGCTTATAAGTTGTAGTTTATTTTGTTACCGCTGCAGAATCATGATATTCACTTGTAATATTCTTTAGTTAAAATGTACAAGAATAATAATTTATTTAACCTTTGCTTTATAATCTATACATATAATAAAATTGTTACTAAGCCGAATCTGTACATTAAATGTTTTTTCCAAAATCTTATTGAAATAAACATTATTATAGATACAGAGGCCGAATCTATAGTTTTTAGAATTTTTGTTTGTCTGTGACCGCATCACAGAAAAACCACTGGAGGGATTTTGATGAAATTTGGTATGGTGATAGCTGGTTATCCGCGTCAACATATAGGATACTTTTTACCGCGGGAAAATATCTCATTTCTGAGAAAAAATACAAAAACTGCAATGTAAGAGTATACTAATATGTAAAACCTAAGTATTTGGTTTTTGGTCATCTGAACGCAGGCGGAGCCGCAGGCAATGCTAGTAATAATATATGTAATTTGTTTTCGAAATACTGTTCAATAAGTAGATATAATTCATTTTTGTAAAGTATCCATTTAATTAAAAATTATATGAGTTAAGTACATAAAATGTTCTCACTAGTATTGTGATGGGTGCGGACATTCTTAACAATAGATTCACGACGTAATGGGGCCATTGATTGTCGCAATGTGTATGCGAATAGTACCTATTGCCTGTAGGTATGAAGTTGAACTGAGAGACTTGTGAGCGTATATCGGTGTGCCTGTCTGATTTTATCTCAGTGTCGTTGCGAAGGTCTAACTTGTTATGAAATCGTGATAGGTTTGTAGAATGTTGCAGCAGCAAATTTATCTATGACAACATGAAAAATAAAAATGTACTTATTATGACTTAGCTTTTTTTTTTGAGGTAGTATTTTAGGCTGAAAATAATTGTAAGGTCGATTTCCGCTCTGGACAAATGTCCATATTCTAGTTAGGTATTTTTTCTGCCACCTGGTACGACATGCCAGGCGGCTATAAAATATAATAAACATATTCGGTATTAATTTTAGCTGTAATCTATATCTATAAAACAAGTCGTGTTAGTACCATTTATAACTCAAGACCGGCTTGACCAATTTTTTATGATATTTGATTTTTTGGATTTCTCTTAGTCCGGAATAGTACAATAAGTATTAAAACATCGAAAAAATTCACAAAAAAAATTTACATGGCTAACACTGGCTAATAACTATTTAAAATGTACCTACATATACCGCTAGTACCTACATAAAACAAAGTCTGGTTTGTTACAAGTTACAACACTTATAACTCGAGAACTGTTGTTTGTTAGATTTGTCTCCGTCCCCAAATAGCAGAATAACTATTAAAACATCGGAAAATTTCACGAAAAAAATTTGAAAAAACGTCCCTAGGGACGAACCTGAGCGAAGCGAGGGTGAGTCGCTAGTAAACTGTAATTTATAAACTACATAATATATTATAGAAAAGTATTTACTATTTACTAGACAAACTGATAATTGATAAAAAGAACATTTACCTCTTTTTAAATTTCTTATAAAATAGAGACTGAGGTGTTACATGTCTTTTCCGTGACCATGGATGCTGTAAAGCATTCAAAACGTCGGGAACCAAAAATCTAAATAAATCCGCGAAATAATCCGAAAAGATAGTTTTATTTAAAATATCTTGATATACATACAATTTATTGTTTGAGGCTGTTATCGTCGCTGTAGAAAGATAACCTAGTTTGTCCAGAGATCCAAATTTTTCAGGAAACGAAAAAAATGGTTCATTTGTTAATGTTTAAAATATTGTTATGTGCTTTTGTCTTACGTTCTTAATGATATAAAGGGTTTTATTTATGTTATTAACCAAGCCATTACTTATCTGGGATACGTGCTTTTCATTTGATTTTTACAATATATATATATATATATATATATATATATATATATATATATATATATATATATATATATAATTCTTCTGTGAGTGTGTATGTCACTGAACTTCTCTCAAACGACTGGACCGATTTTGATGAAATTTTTTGTGTGTGTTCAAGGGGATCTGGGAATGGTTTAGATTCACAATTTGAATAATAATTTTCATCAAAAAAATTATTAAAAAAAGTTTGAAATTTTCAAATTAAAGACGTGTAGACAGGACAACGTCTGTCGGGTCCGCTAGTATATATATATATATATATATATATATATATGCTTTTTTGACATACGAGGTATTCATTCTACAGCGACGTTATGGTTTCCGAAATTGGCATGGTAGAATATATTAGCTATTCTCTGCGAATTTGATTTTAACGGAGTAATTTATTGTATTGACTAGTCACTAGACGAATGTTTGTCTGAATCTGGTCAAAACTAATGAGCAGCAGTGGCAAAAAATATTTAATTAATATAATTTTATTAATTATTCCCTCCGGGACCGCGGACACGCCGGCGTGTCAGTTAACAATAAATTTACCTGGAGGTGTTTATTACTTTAGAACCTATAATTATATTACTATTTGGTTTAAGTACCAGCAAAAAATGTCGGATTTAGAAAGAACTGCGATATTTGGGATAATATAAAACTATAACAATATTACATTTTGTCGTCTGTATGACTAAGTACATAATAAGGTTAATCTGTGAATTAAATGTATAAAATTTATATGTTTTTGTAGGTACTATTTTGAGCTGATGAGTGTACCTGTTAAATTATAAATAGAATAACATTACACTGACAAAAGATAAAACTATAATACATACTACATAGGTACCTACTATCGATTTTCCATTCCACCCAATGAGTTAAAAGCCTGCACAAAGTGTCTGTTATTTTCATTATGATAATATTAAATATAAACAACTAGCGACTCACCCTTCCTTCATTTGAGTTCGTCCCTAGGTTGATTCCCATACAAACTTTCATTCCCATTTTCACCCCCTTAGGGATGATTTGTGGGATAAAAACTATTCTATGTCCTTCCCAGGGTCTCAAACTATCTTAACAAATTTCATCTAAATTGGTTCAATAGATCCAGAGATTACCCCCTACAATCTCACAAATTTTTCCTCTTTATAATATTAGTATAGATAAACCATAATCAATAGTAAATTATTTATTAAACAATAATATTTACACATATTAACTTAACTACCTTGTTCAACCAATGTCTCAAATGAATTTATTCTTCACCAAGCGACTGGTTTTTTTTATGGGACCAAGGGGGCAAACGGGCAGGAGGCTCACCTGATGGAGAGTGATCACCGCCGCCCATGTTGGATAATCAAATGATACGCTTCATTATAGAGGAATGAAGAGAATTATCTACTTTAAACGATAACTATTCAAATTGCGAGCGGTTTACCTTTATTTTATACTGTGATTGATTATGGTTTAGAAATACTAATAACAGGTACCTCACATATATTTGGCTCAAATAATGGCAAGCTGAATATTTACTGACAATATATTGGCGGTGTATATATTTTTCGTGTGATTTGTGACGGTTTTCGACACTACAAAGTACAACTAGAGTTTTTAGTTGTCACTCTACTAAATATGGATCATCTATAGATACTTTGTGTTTTGGACATCTTCATAATAAATAGTAACTTTAACCTACGCAACTTAGTCCGTAACGCCTCACTTCTGGCGCAAAATAATAATCGCCAGTACAATACGTATTTATTTTTGCTTAATTAATAGTAATATCCGTTGTTTCAGCCAAAAAACAAAATGGTTCAGCAGTACGTACCAACAGCCTGGGCTCTGGCGCGCGCACCCCGCCCGCTGAGCGAACCAAATCAAAATTTTCTGCGTTTGGTAGACTTTTCAAACCATGGAAATGGAAACGGAAAAAGAAATCTGAAAAATTTGAAGCAGCTTCTAGATGTAAGTATTTTGTAGGTTCTAAATTAAAATCTCTTCAGCATTCAATATTATCTTTTAGACGTCTACTTTTTTTTAACGTTGGGAAATGCATTTAGGCATACATACAGGTGGCTATGTGGGATAACAATAGACCAGAAATGGTTGCAGTGACACGAAATAGCTGCAAAATAGAAATGTGGGACTCACCGGTAAAGCCAGTACTACCCACTAAAATTTGACGGAACATCCTCGCGACGCGACGGTAAGTCTGCCGAAGCAGACCACATCAACCATGGGGATGCCCCAACAGTCTAATTTGCTATCAGAGAAGTACCAGGAGCGCCGTATGGCACGCCCACGCCCACCAAGGTGCGTTTCTTGGCTTCGTGCCCGGCTGGATTGCCCGACCACGATGAGTCCCCCCACCACGACCAGCTAAACGAACACTAGAGGGGACACGTCTACTTTGTGCTAATGAATTGTAACCTATTATTTTCTTATAGAAAAAATAAAACGAAGACATGCCTTAAAAGGTTAAATTCTCGTAACGTACAGAACCTTCGATTTAACGACCCCGACTTGCACTAGACTAAATAATTATATTAAACTAGAACGCTTACATTTTTCATTACGTTGTATTGTGTAAATGTTAAAACTAAAAGATGATTTATTGTTCTGTTATTTATTAATTATCAGTCTGCTATGACATATCCTCTCATATTGCAATTATTTGTAGAAAATATCTGTTTTCTATTATCACGGTAATTTTAAACTAATTATATCCGTATAATATGTTGTAACATTTTCATAGTGAGGCAAAGTTTCACACAAAAAAAGCAAAACGTCTATACTACGCAATCATTAATATGTTAGTGTCGTGTTAGTAATCAATGTACAACACAGTTGTACAATTTTCGTGCCAGATTGCTCTTCAAGTTTACATCAAATAAAAAAATTGTAATAAAACTTTCTTAATATAACAGAAATCAATATTCTTATAAACAACATATTTTTTTAATATTTTGTTTCTTGTTTATCTACACAGGTAAATCCCGCGACAACCTTTAATATCATAAAAATTGTGTAATGTAATAAATTGATGGTTTGATTTAATTTAAAGTTTATTTTCTTCTTCTTAGATTTTATAGTTATTCGTATTCTTCTCAGCAAAGCCTTTCATTTGATATCCATATCATGGGGGTGCATAAAAAACAATCCGCCATATTGAATTTACAATGACGTCACTTTTACGCTTATTGTGTTTTGCTCATCAAGCCCTTTCATTTGATGCCATAAGTGACCCGAAGTGTCACTATGGAAATGATAAATCGCCATTTTGTAACGTCCGCGGCATATTGGATTAAAAATGGCGGCATTTTGGTAATCGTGCATTGTATCGGGAAACAAACTAGTGTGCTAAATTTCAAATGGTTCAAATTTCACTTGCAAGATTCCATTACACACACTGGGACAGATAAAACTAAATAAACGCTTGTAAAAAGATTAAATTCGTTTACGATTGATCGATAAACTAATTTAATTCATGACTAACATTATTTCGTCTATTGCAGCTTTAGAAAGGAAGATATCCGTCCGAGCGAATAGAGATGAGTTAGTTCAAAAAGGAATTCTTCTGCCAGAGAGTCCAGTGACGCCCGTACCCGAAGACAGTAAGAGATTAAGTGTTCTTAAAATATAATTTATTGAGTATTCACAACCATACATACATCACTTCACAATATATTCCATTTTTAGCAGTCTGGGAGCATTGAGTGCCAAGTCCTACGATCTTTACATAGCTTCTTCAATTGTAATAATTTTCTTCTAACGCTCCTAAGGGATTCTCAAACTTTTGAACTGACCTTCTTTTAGTATAATAGACACTTGATTTTCAAACGCGGTATTCCTAGGTACTTTTTGACTAGTTCACTGGGTAGTCACTCACTAGGTTCACTTTTAGCTCTCTCACTGCTCTATTACTATTTTTCATTGGAACTTGTCATGATATGTTGGGGCATTAACACACAGCACTATCTAGTTCCATGGTAAGCTACGAGGCTTGTGTTATCCAGACCAGATAGTTGATACACTACACACATATGTAACTTTAAATACATACATATTATAAATATAAACACCCATGACTGGAGTACAAACATTCGTGCTCATCACACAAAAGAATGCCCCAGCGGGACTCGAACGATGGAACGGATTCATTGCGAATCCGATCAGAATTCGACCCAGCCTTCTGAGAGATCATTTCCACATATTTATCTTACTTTCTTAATTCTTTCTTCTACTACTATGTTCACATTTTGCTGCCGCAGTGTTAGTATTGGTATTAATACTCGTGTACTGCCAATTGCATGATTTTACTCAGGTGCTTGTTGATTCATCACTGCAATAATACCACCGTTTACCTTGTTATGTTATCAGCAGTGATCCATCTCTAGATATTTGCTACAAAACGTACTTCCCAAACACTACACTATTACATTCACTTTTGTGCTTTATTTTAATCTATTTTTGAGTAAGCGGACCGGGAACAAAAGGGACCTTTTGCCGTCCCGATAAAATCTATGTTTTTTCCATACATCTAAATCCGTCCAGGTGTTATAATAACCATATTTTCATTAATACATTGTAAGGCAGTAGTAGCCCAGTGGTAATGCGCTCGCTTGAGAAACCGAGTGAAGCGGGTTCAAATCCTGGGTCTCACACCATCTGATATTTTCATGTGCGTATCATTTCTAACATGATTACCACTTGTCTTACGGTGAAGGAAAACATAGTGTGGAAACCTGCATGTCTGAGAGAACTTAGCAAGTTTTCGAAAGACATGTGAAGTCCGCCAACCCGCACTTGGCCAGCGTGGTGGACTATGGCCTGATTCCCCTCGTACTGAAGGGAGGCCCGTGCCCAGCAGTGGGACCATAAAAAGGGCTGAATACACATTAATACATTCACATTCGACGGCACATTTGGCTCAGTTTATAGTGTCCCTACTTGCTGAGCCAGCGGTCGCGGGTGCGAGTCCCGCTGGGGGTATTCATTTGTGTGACGAGCACGAATGTTTGTACTCTAGTCATGGGTGTTTATATTTATAATATGTAAGTATGTATTTAAACTTCTAAAGTTATATAATATGTGTAGTGTATCAACTATCTGGTATCTATAACACAGGCCCCATAGCTTACCATTGAACTAGATGGTGTTGTGTGCTGTTGTCCCAACATATTTATTTATTATTATTAATACAAAATGTAAAAAGACAAGTTTCTTGTTGAATTTTAGTATATTCATATAACACCTTTTGACTTACATAGAAACACTCTTAATTCATAGATTTTTGTCATTCTTTTCTAGCTCTACATATGTTTTCTTGCCCAACCACTTAGCATTAACTATAATCATAGTCTTATCACGAACAAAGAAATAATAGTTCAAAAAAATGTTAATAGATGACGTTACACGTATCAATTTGTTATTAAAGTTGTGTTAAATTAACAAAAGATAAAAAATAGACATAACAAAAAATATGTAAAATGAAGAATATCACTTTTGGTTTTTATCTTACAATACACTCTATTAAAAATGAAAAAATATCGTAAAAATAATTTTGATACGTCTTATTGTTTCCGAGATATTTGATTGTTTAGCTAGGCGTCCGACGACGCGGAGTCATCGGCCGCTGTGACGTCATTTTACAACGGTCGGTCAGTGCGTGCTTGGCTCTCGACCTGTGTGAATGCAGAAAGTAGAAAATAAAAAATAAAACACATAAACATACACTTATCCAAGATCACATGAGAGGTTTTTCATCTTGACTTCTATTTAAAAAGTGTAGTTGCGTGCGTGCTAATAATAACCTACTTTTGAAAAAGGTTTTGTACATCTGGTACCTAATGTTCAGGTTAGGTTTACTAATTCTTTTTAATTAATTTCTTCTTCTACTACATATTAAAAAAATATAAAATGTAAGGCATGATCAAAACTATGTAGGTAAAATAATACAGCATTGTTTTTAATAAGTCCTACCCTGTTACAAATACCTACGTATTCTTCCTTCTCAGGAACTTAATGTCAAGTTAATAGTATCAATATGATGTACATTTATAAAACACTAGCATTGCCTGCGGCTCCGCCCGCGTTCAGATGACAAAAAACCAAATTCTTAGGTTTTACATATTAGTATATTATTACATTGCAGTTTATGTATTTTTTCTCAGAAATGAGATATTTTCCCGCTGTAAAAAGTATCCTATATGTTGATACGGATAACCAGCTATCATCATACCAAATTTCATCAAAATCACTCCAGTGGTTTTTACGTAACAGACAGACAAAAATTCAAAAAACTATAGATTCGGCCTCTGTATCGATAATAATGTCTATTTCAGTGAGATTTTCCAAAAAATATTTAATGTACAGATTCGGCTTACTTACAATTCTTATTATATGTATAGACCAGTAATGAGAAATATGTACTTAGTTGTTATAGGGGTCAAAAGATTTATGATAAAAAGTAAAATGTTATTACGTAATACCTACTTTTGCATTGAAAGAGTGATTGTACAGTGACAATGTTGAGTTGTAAAATGACGTCACGCGAGTATGGCGTGTTCGCGCGAAATATTTGAATAGGACGGAAATTAAATTGTCGTAACTTCAACACTACTTGCTTGATTTAAATGTAACAAAAACAAGTTTATTTCTTAAACATTTAGGCTACACGGTCATAAAGTTTCCAGTGATTTAACAGACCCAGTGACATTATTCATTGTTTTAAAGAATATTCTAAGTGAAGGGAAAGGAAATAATTTGCGTAATGTTACTGATTATTTAAATATCAGCAATCGGATAATAGGTTTGTTGTGTATTCACAGATGGCGCTTTAACATTTTATGAATTGTTTATCACGGTTAAAAGTGGTTAAAATCACTGTTTTTTTTTTCATTCGAACGCATGATGAATTTTACAATATTTGCACATTTTTGCATGCACGTTAGTTTCTAAAATAAAACAGTTTAATTATTTGCGAATCAACGACATCTATTATCTATTCAATAAAACAAAAAGAAAACCGAATTAGCGCAGTCCAATTTCTTTGTATGTGATGAGGCATCTGTACTAATATAGTATTTTATGCCATAATGTTTCGGAAGTACTTATTTTAAAATGCCTGGGTTGTTTTAAAATTAAAAAAAACGTTAATACCGGACTTAAATAGATTTTATTTATTATATATATTCTTATTTAAAACAAATTTATACGTCTCATGAACTATAACTTTATAAGCAAATTATCATTTAGGAAAATTAATATTTTTTTTTCAATTTTATTTTATACCCAGGTCCATATCTAGACGCCTTACGTATTAATAATATGTATTACGAAAGTTTATGTTAAGGATATTTTTCCAACTTAATTCACACATATCACCATACCGGTACCTTATTTTCTTTATATGTTCATAAATTATAGCCAATAACATTTCTCAACAATCTCTTTTTCTATTGCTAAAAACCGTATAAAATCCAGACAGTAGTTTCTGAGATAGTTCAAACAAACAAACTCAGCGCAGAAGGGGAAGTAGGCAGTAAGAATAAACAAAACAAACAACCAATTTCTCTATCTAGAGTCTTGAGTAATTGTTATATCAATTAAAACATCGTCATATGTCTGACCTACATAAAATTTAAAAAATATTTTTTAAAACCTTTAATATTTAATAGATGTTTTAACTTTTAGGCCATGGTATGTTTTAATTCTATTTTTACTGGCCTATTTAGAAGCATTCAAAAAATTAAATTAATATAATATACAAGTTCTATATAAGATTTGTAAGAGAAGTAAAGTAAGATAAATTGTAATAGATGAGGAGGAGTCACCGACGTATGGGGAGGAGACGCGCAACGAGCGGGAGACACACACGGGGAATATGAACGAGCGTAGCGGAGCGCACGCTGCTCTGCAGGCGCAGCTGGCGTCGCAGCTGGCACAGCAGCAGCATGCGCTGGCCGCCGCCGTGGCCGCCGCCGCCGCCGCCGCTGCGCACCATCACCATCAGAACAACAATGTTATCGGTATGTAACTTATTTTTAACGTCCCACTGCTGGTCACGGGCCTCCCTTCAATACGAGGGGAATCGGGCCATAGTTCACTATGCTGGCCAAGTGCTGGTTGGCGGACTTCACACGTCTTTCGAAAACTCAGACATGCAGGTTTCTTCACGATGTTTTCCTTTACCGTAAGACAAGTGGTAATCATGTTGGAAATGATTCGCTCATGAAAATATCAGAGCTGCGAGACCCGAGATTGCAATCCGCTTAACTATAAGACAAATGTAAATGTAAAATAACTCGATTCGTTTGAAAAATTGTAAATGCCCGCTATAATACTTTCTAGCGCCCCACCCTTACGTTACGTACGTTTTAACGGTTAGTATAGAATAGATAGACTATAATATGGTTTACCTAACCTTCCTCAATCTTCTTTCCTTTAATGGTAACCTTCCTCAATTAACAGATTTGAATATTTAATGCAAAAACAATTTTTCATATGCATTTTACATTCTATGACAAAAAAGATGTAGTAGCAAATAGATTCAATTATAAAACGTATTAACTTCAAAAAAATACACAACGTAAAAATTGCAAACTATAGGTAATTTTTTTTATAAGGTACATGCTAACTAAAAAGATACATACATATTATGTATGACTACTAAAAACTCGAATAAGTCCGAGTGAAATTACAGTACCTACGTAAAATAAATGGCTTAAGCGAATATATTTTATTACTAGCGACTCACCCTCGCTCCGCTCGGGTTCGTCCCTACTTACTTTATAAAGTTTAGTATAGATTTCTCAGAGATGACATATTTTCCCGCAATCAAAAGTATCCTATATGTTGACCCGGATTACCATCTATCATCATACCAAATTTCATCAAAATCCCTCCAGTGGTTTTTCCGTGATGCAGTAACAGACAGACAGGCAGACAGGCAAAAATTCTAGAAACTATAGATTCGGCCTCTGTATCGATAATAATGTCTATTTCAATAAGATTTTCCAAAAAATATTTAATGTACAGATTCGGCTTAGTTACAATTTTATTATATGTATAGACTAGCGACTCACCCTCGCTTTGTTCGGGTTCGTCCCTAGCTTGATTCCCCACACAAACTTTCATCCCCATTTTCACTCCCTTAAAGGATAATTTCCAGGACAAAAAGGATCCTATGTCCTTCCCAGGGTCTGAAACTATCTTCTTACCAAATTTCATCTAAATCGGTTCAGTAGATCCAGAGATTACCCCTACAACGTCACAAACTCACAAACTTTACTTCTTCTTTATAATATTAGTATAGATACCTAATCAGATATTTTCGAAATCGGCGTGTTTTGAATCGGCTGGCAAGTTAGTTTTTATATGAGGACTGACAAACTAAAATTAGATTTTTTAGCAATACTAAAAAATCTGGCTCTAAAATCCATTTCTAATTGGGCTTCCTGCTGCACCTTCACGGCACCTCCTGGTCTTACCATCACATCAAGTCGACGATACCAAACCACTGCACTATCAACGGAAATAGGAACGCTTGCAAAGTTTCAAGTCAATATGACAATTAGTTGGTTAAATTTTCATTATCTGTTTTTCCAATCTTAGGGGTGGTATATTTTTTTCAAATTTAAATGGGACTAAATTGAAAGAAAACACTATAAAAGAAAATAAAAATTGTCCAAATCGATTAATAAATGACGGAGTTCTGAGGTAACAAACATAAAAAAATACAGCCGAATTGAGAACCTCCTCCTTTTTAAAGTTGGTTGATAAAAGTGGGTTTAGTTGTGTGAGATTAAGTAGATCAAAATAATGCAAATTAGTCAGTTGTCTAGCATAAAGTGTGGTCTATATTCGCCTTATACTCTGTATGTATAACAAATAATTAGGGCCCAATTTTGCATACGTAAATAAACAGTAAGTTTTTTGTGAACCGCTGGGTATCCACATAATATTGACATTTGGGACCCCTTATACTGAGGAGTAGTAACAATAGTACTCTTGAATAAATTGAAGGATCTCTTATTTTAATGGTTTTAACATTTACATGGAAAAAAATAGGATTTTCTGGTTGCTGATGTTATCAAGACTTATGTAACAGGAAGATACTAGCAAAACATATAAGCACTGTAGAAAGAGTTATCAAATTCTTCCTTCATATGTTTCTTGGGATATTAAAGTATTATTTTGTACAACATGCAAATATAAGTGCCGCAAGGTGCTTATCAAATAGCTTTAATTCGGCCAAAAGCTTTTTCTGAATTCTGTCCCTGTTTGGTTGCCTGTCGTTCAGGTAAAAAGAAAGAAACGTGTTGCGCGTATTCATGAGTTAAGAAAAGCAAGCATCGCGTAGCGGGAATTAGCGGCTTCCTGGCAGGACGAGCAGCGATCGTTGAACCCCGCGCCACCGCCCGGCGCCCTCCGCGGCCGCTGCCGGGCTGCATATGACGTCACCAGACTGACAATACGAATTAATTACCTTTTTAAGCTGGGATTATTCTTTTCTTTGCAAATTATTCTTGCAATCTTTTTGTTTCCTTCACTTTTTTTTTATTTTTGATAATAAATTACTTAAAGGCAATGCAATGAATGTGCTATTGAATAGTAGAGATAAAGAATATAATATACATAATAATTCATATATTCGTATATGTACGTATATAAAACGCTTGATCTACTGCATTTTACGGATCGGGTTTCTTTAAAACGCTGTGAATTTTATGGGATTTATTTTCAAAGGTTAAAACCTATAGGATGACAGAATGTCTAGATTTTGTGTCGGGCTATTACGGGGGTGCCGCAGGCGGGGGTAGTGCAGGGGGTGCGGGCGGCGGTCTGGCCGCCGGCGCGCGCCTCAGTGCTGGCCCGCCCGCGCCCGCGCCCGCCTGCGCTCCTAGTCCGCAGACTTAACCTCACTCGACTCCTCTTCTATAGACGCACTTGCGTTAACTACAGTAACCCTTCTGATATTTCGTCCATATCCAGTGACAATTCATAAAAAATTAAGTCTAAAGAAAATGTGTCGCACTGCTCAACATTATTATTAGTCAAATAATATTAATAATACCTTATATTGGTTATTTTTATGGTGCAACGTAACCCTTTATTTCATTATTTATAGAAATAAGGCTAATTTACTACAACACAATTCGCATAAAACTGTTTATATGTAAAAAGCCAAGGTAACGAATACATTTTATAATGTTGTGTTTTAAATTTATCTTTTTTATTTACGTGAAAGGTGATGTTTCACATAAAACTAAGCTTCGTATATAACTTGTGGTCTAGAAAGAGTCGCGGTGGCGCGAACTTAGCAGGCAATATCGATCGACAACAGTCGCAGCACGCGATCGCGCTTACAACACAAACCATATTTTCCAAAGCTCTAATTAACACTTGCTGAGTTTATGTTTTAAATAAAATATCAACTTACACAGGTAAACATTTAAAAAAAGGTTGAAAGTATTCAATGTTGATATTTATAGGTATTTAATGGATTATATCTTTAAAAGTCTACTTAGTCACTAATATGTCACTGTGAACTTAATCCATCAATATCCATGATTGGTTCATATAATGGATCGTAGCGTGCACTGTCAAAACCTAAAATGTATTGGGAATCGTTTTGACATAACAACGGATGGTGAAACGGTACGGTGGTGGTCAGACCGAGTGTTGCGGGCGCGGGAGCGTTGAGCGTTGAGTGCGATCACGAGCGCGGTGTCTCGAGCGCAGCCTCGCGGCAGGCGCGTGCCGCAGCCTCGGCCGCCCGCGCCGCCCGCGACGCGCCTGTCTATGATGGGCTATATCATGGGCTGTGCATGTTTGAGAGGTGCGTACCTCATTACTTAATTCAACGTGCTAGCTACGCCTATGTTTTTATATCTTTAAAATATATACATAATAAATTTAGAACGGAAATTAGATTTTTTTATTTACATTTTGTAATGCTTGTTATATCGCTGTCCCCAAAGCCTTTGTTTGCCTCAATTAAAGCTAAACCGGGGTAAAACTCTATGAAAAAAATCAAATATTTACCTGTCCGGGACAACCTAGCGACGGTGAAATAGTCATCAACGCCTTGACGTCAAGTTAAAAAAGTACCTGATGTAAGGTACTTGATGTAAAGTTAAATATTTTAAATTATCTCAATAATACGCTTTATAAAATCCACAATAATGAAGCATTTAATTTTAACATAAATAAATTTAGATATGATATATGATTTAGATCTTGGTTAGAAGTTAGAATATTAGTTATTTTAATGAATTACTATCATTTGAGTACTTTTAGGCGTTAGATACAGATATAATAGATGTTTTTTGCGCATTTACTTGCGAACTATATGGTTAAAATGGCTTTCGAAATTAAAGCTTGGTTTTTGATATAGTTGGCGTGTATTTCTTTGCAATGATAACAAGTGATTAAAACTAACGTTTACTGCTTTCTTATAGGTCCTACATACACTGATATACTATTGTTTATGGTCAGAAGCTACTCATTTTTTAGAACTTGTATCCACACGTGAATTATAAATAAAAAAATAACTGTCAAGATGTTTATATAAAACCTAATGCATCTGACATGCGTTATAGTATTTTCAGATTACATTGGATTATAAATTGTAACATAACCTGCACCCATTATCGTAGCGAGACGTGTGTAATTTTTTTTAGAATTCCATAGTCAAATGATCAGGACGTACCTACTCCTAATTTATTCGATAACTAGCATTGCCCGCGGCTCCGTCCGCGTTAAGATGACCAAAAACCAAATTCTTAGGTTTTACATATTAGTATAATCTTACATTGCAGTTTTTGTATTTTTTCTCAGAAATTAGATATTTTCCCGTGGTAAAAAGTATCCTATATGCTGACCCAGATAACCAGCTATCACCATACCAAATAACATCAAAATCCCTTCAGTGGTTTTTCTGTGATGCGGTAACAGACAGACAAACAGACAAAAATTCTAAAAACTATAGATTCGGCCTCTGTATCGATAATAATGTTTATTTCAATAAGATTTTCCTAAAAATTTTTAATGTACACATTCGGCTTAGTTACAATTTTATTATATATATATATGGGTGATTCTTCAAAATTTGGTTAACTTGGTGTTAGCAGCAATTTTCACATATTTATATCTATTTTATTAAATATTTGCAACTACTAAGCAATATTATAAAGTTCATGTAATTTGGTCACTCACTTTGATTTATATCACAATATTTTTTATTTCCGAAAATCGCTTCTTTCTACTCCAAATATCAGGCCCTAGCCATGTAAGATCTCCCAAATTTAGCAAGCATTTCATTGTTATTGTAATTCTCTAAATCATATTTGATTTAACTCGACTTAAACACGTTTACTATTACATTATTAACCTAGTCATTGCGATTTTATTTTTAATAACAATAAATTTTATCATATTATTTCAAGTTAAAAAGTGTAAGCGTTAAAAAATATCAGGCCCTAGCTATTTGCGAAATTCGAAAATACGCGGCATCTAAGCTTATGGCGTTTTTCAAAACTTACTCAAGCGAAAGCATCGATGTGAAGTTAAATGTAAACACGACCAATGCCGCATCAGCTATTTAGTTTTTACTGCAGTCGCCGACTTTGTTACGGAAACACGTGCTGTGCCAGTCAAACTCTCAGTCCCTAGGTAAGTCGTTTCAAAGATAGTTAATTAATAATTGATCTCATTACTTATTGTAAATTTGAGCTTTGTCTGCCTTGTTATTTTGATCACCTGCTGGTTGTTATGTTTATTTTAAATAATAGGTTATTTTTGATTTTGCTTTGATTCGTCAGTCCCTAGACCGTCAGGCCCTCGTCGTAAAAGTGACTAGGGCCTGATGGCACACCTAGGGACTGACGGTCATACTGCGTGATCCATGGTTTTAATAATAAAATACATGTATTTGTTGTAGAATATGGCACCTAAAAAGAAAACATTACTTTCCAAAGGAGAACTCGCCAAAAAAAGTGTGAACAGGCAAAGATACGTTTGGAAAAAATTAAAAATACCCTATTTTGCTAGCAGAGTACAAAGAAAAAGAACGACATAAATATCCAAGGAAAAAGAAAAAGGACAAAGGAAATGTGTCAAGGACATGCCACCGCGTGAGCATAGAAGAACCACGAAACAGAAGACTGAAACGTAAAATGACGAAAAATAAGAAAGCACACCAAAAAGTAAAATTGAAGCCATGGCTAACGAGCCTAATCAAAACGCTGAATTGATAAATGGCACATAATTTCAAATAAATGAGAATGATATCGCTGATGTGCCTTACGAAGAATGTTTTAGAATAACTGCCAGTTTCTAACCTAATAAGGTGGAACCATGTTTCACAAATTTAAGAAACATGTTGTCGCTTACGAAAAGTAGAACAAATAAATAGTGATGTGATAGTATTTGTGATTAATTAGAGAAAGAGTGATTATTACGTTCAAATTATAATTTTGTTACTTAGAAAGCTAATTTTTAAAGTATTGTTAATTATTTAAAGATTTTTAATTTGTAAGTACTAAACTCAAAGTACAGTTAATAAAAGAAAGGCTATGATTGTAACTTTTCAGTTTACTCAGATTTTATAAATTTTGTTTACTGAAGAGATAAGTAGGTAATAATAAGTTTCACTGATATAAAAAATAGCTTGTCAAGGTAACATAAAATTGATTGTCTACTTCAGTACATTGAATATTTTTGAGTATGATACTAAATTTAAGATTGTAGGAAGACAATTCTACTTGTTATATAAAATATCTTATATTTTGACTGTTTGTCACAATAATTAATAATAATATGTAAGCTATTTTAATTTGTTAAAGTTAATTTTGCTATAAAAAGGTGATTAAGCACATTAACCGTCTTTGGCGTCAGTCCCTATCATGTCTCGTCAGTCCCTAGATAAGTGATTTCAAAAAAACTTGAATTTCTCTTAAAATACATTGTGAAGTGACTGGCCCTTTTAGATGCAACAAAGTAAATATTATATCCACAGTATAGAATCAGAAATTTACTGATAACCATCTAAAAAGACCTTTGTCAAAATTACGCCATAAGTTAACCAAATTTTGAAGAACCACCCATATAGATTTTAATACCTAGGGTAATCCGAAATTTATTAAACAAATGGTGAAAAATTGTGAATGCTTTTTATTCCTGCGTATAAACCAAAGTTTGAATAGTCTTTTATTTATCAAATTAACCAATCTGAAATTTCTGTCTGAAAGGCTAATAGAAAACTGCACTCAATTCAGAAAATATGCAGAACTTTGTGGAGTACCGAAATAGCAAAAATATTATATGACTACCGTAGTAACTACTACAGTATCGAGTATGATAAAAATTAATGTGTCGGAATATTGTTAGATATTCGTTCCATTCCATCTAAAAATACTAAACGCCGCGAGTTAGGACCGTTTTTGTGTATATTTGTTTATATTTTTTTGTTCAAATTATGAAATGATTTTCCAACTTATCTTAGGAAACTTTTTTAAATAAGGAACTTATCGTAGGAAGTAATATCTTAGGAGAGTAATCATGTATTTGATGAATTAAAAACAATGTAACAAGGCTACAAGGAATTATGTATTAGAAATCATAATATGTACGAGTATCTTCGAATATAATGCAATTATTAGTTCCGTTCTCAAGTCCTTCGTCGTTTATAACTTAGTGCGAGAGCAATTTGATTATTAAGGGCGATATCGGCGAACAAAATAAGCTTCTGCTATCACATTTAGTGAGAACGTGAACTTAAAACCGACAATTTATAGCTTATTTTATACGTTATTGGTAATCGTAAAGTAAAACATTAGAAGGATATACACAACAGTCAGCCCTTCAAAGCTGACAACAAGGCTACACAGATAGACGAACGGACGGACGGACTATTGAATCGAATAAAAGTAAACTTCATTTTTTTAAATGTGTCTATTTAATAAATATGTAAAAACAGAAGATACTATTTTAATGTAAACAAAAAATATGCGTTTTAAACAATAATTCTTAATTTTTTTGAACAATAATTCTCTGCAGAAAACTAATTTGAAAGAAATAAGATTGTCAAACAACAAACGTAATTTCATAGGAGACGACCGAAGCTTTTCTATTAAATACCTAGAAACAACTAAAGTAAAAAACTAATTTATTTATTAGTTACGTATTATTATTGTACTAGCATTGCCCCCGGCTCCGCCCGCGTTCAGATGACTAAAAACCAAATTCTTAAGTTTTACATATTAGTATACTCTTACATTGCAGTTTTTGTATTTTTTCTCAGAAATATTTTCCCGCGGTAAAAAGTATCCTACGAGGGTGCGTTTTTAAGTTCGCGGAATGAGAGGGTTGGAGGGAGGTGATTAGGCTCATTAGGATCGTAACGTGTTTAGTGACTCATAATTAGTATAAGTACGAGATTTCATTGTTATTAGACTATTAGTCTTTGAGCTATTGCCAACCAAGCAACATAATCAGGAGTGAAAAGTGAAATATGGAAAAAATCTAATATCGTGCCGTTATAAAGTTCCTTACCAAGCAAGGAAAATCAGTTGCGACCATAATGGATGAGATGTCATCGGTTTACGGTGACTCTTGTCCAGGAAAAACCATGGTGTACAAGTGGCACAGTTTGTTTAAAAAAGGAAGGGAATCCCTTGAAGACGACCCGAGGCCGGGCAGGAGCATCGAGGTGACCACGCCAGAACTTATCCAAAAAGTCGAAAAACTTGTACTCGACGATGCTCGACTAAAGAAGAAACAACTCGCAGAAATGGTTGGAGTATCCGGTACAACTATTTTTAAAATCCTGCACAATCATCTTGGCATGACTAAGGTCAGCGCAAGATGGGTACCGAAAATGCTCACGCCGCCGCAAAAATAACAACGCGTAGAGTGTTCACGTGCATTTTTGGACCTCTGCAATGAAGACAAGGATGGTGTATTGAGTCGAATTGTTACTGGAGACGAAACTTAGGTTCATCATTATGAACCTGAGACGAAACAAGACTATGCAGTAGCATAAAAAGGGCACAGCACCCCCCCAAGAAGTTTAAGGTGTCACAGTCAGCTGGGAAACTCATGGCAACGGTCTTTTGGGACTCAGGAGGAATATTATTGATCAATTATAAAGATAAAGGTGTTTCTATAACCGGAGAATACTACGCTTCAATATTAGAGCGACTAAAAGAAGCCATTAAACAGAAAAGACGGGGAAAATTGACGAAAGGTGTGCTGCTTTTGCACGACAATGCGCCCGTCCACAAGAGCCGCGTTACGTTGGCTGCCCTGCTTAAAGTGGGCTTCGATATTTTAAACCACCCACCCTACAGCCCAGACCTGGCACCGAGTGATTATAACCTCTTTCCAAAAATGAAAAAAGAGCTGCGGGGTAAAAAAATTACCACCGATGATTAAGTTAAGGAGGCAGTTACCGATGATTAAGTTAAGGAGGCAGTTTCAGCGTATTTTGTGGACAAAGACAAAACATTTTTTTATGAGGGTATAAATAAATTAATTGAAAGATCTGAAAAATGTGTCCGTCTTGCAGGTGAATATATTGAAAAGGAAAAATAATTTGGTTTTTTATTTCAACCCCTTACCCTTCATTCCGCGAACATAAAAACGCTCCCTCGTATATGTTGGATCATATTTCATCAAAATCCCTTCTGTGGTTTTACCTACTGTTATGCGGTAACAGACAGGCAGACAAAAATTCTAAAAACTATAGATTCGGCCTCTGCATCGATAATAATGTTTATTTCAATAAGATTTTCCAAAAAATATTTAATTACTTTATTAAATATTAATTACAGATTCGGCAGGAATAAGTTTAAATATAATGTTTTTTATATATTTTTTTCTACAAAATTGAAATGAAAAAATCAACTAGGCTGTACGAATTTACGCTCTACCAAAACTAAACTATTGTTTCAACGACAACGTTATGCAGACAAAGCGAATCGTCACGCAGTGTTTAAATGATTTCAACAAAACGCTTTCACATAAAAGTAATGGATCATATCTGAGACTTTCTGTTTTGCTATTGTTGTATTCGCTCCACTCTCTTAAATTACTACAAACTCAGTACAGTAGAGTCGGCGGTTAATAATATTTTGAATGCTTTTATACCATAATTATGTTCTTTGAATGCATTTAGATTAAACGTATCTATTCTGAAATAAAACTGATAGTTTTGTTTGACAGACTTGAATACAAGGTACTTAATTCGGTTGCGGTAGATATATTTTTGTGCGTTTTTTTTTGTCTTCGCTAAATTGTAAACTGATTTTTATGGTCCTTTATTACGTTATACATCAGGAATGGTCCAATGCTGTTCTCGCGTAAATAAACCAGATATTTTAGGTAAAACACTTATTTACTTTGAAATCTTAGAGGTGCATTTTTATTTTAAATACATATTTATGTACATATGTATCTCTATACTTCACTGCTTCTGCTGCATTGTATTTAAATATGACCAAAATAATAAGGCTTTTTCATTCATTTTTATGCAAAGTTGAATTGCCAACTTTTATGCCACTTGTTGTCTTCAAATGGCTCTCCATGAAAACTTTCATAACCTATTTAAATAAATGAAATATCATTAAAGTACAATGAAATATAGGTTAATATAACTATTTTACTCGAAATAATTAGAATTATTCGTTCGTATTGAAATCTAAGTTATTTTTGTGGCATAGAAAATTCTATGCAAAAAAAGTAAAATATGTCCATTATATATAGATTTTTTAATCCAAGTATGTATCGCATTGAGTAATAGTTGTTCAAGTATAGTTTTTAATAAAATAAAAAGTTTATTCGCGTAAAATTTATTACACAATAGGTACTAAAGTCTGAAATTACCATTGTAACAATTATACAATGTTTTTAAATATAAGATGGATTATTATTAGCTTCCTGTTCCTGTAGGTAAATATTACCGTCGAAGTTAACGTGTTAATATTATAAAGGTGAAAGTTTGTGAGTATGTATGGATGTTACTTACACTTTCACGCCAGAACGGCTGAAGGGATCTGGATGAAATTTGGCACAGGGATAGACTATAGTCTGGAATAACAAACACATAGGCTACTGTTTAATATACGGTTCCCGAGGGATATTTTTGTTTTTGTAGAGACGTACCCGAGCGAAGCGAGGATAAGCCGATAGTATAATATATTTTAACATATTTTTTTTGTAATGGAACTTGGCACACTTATTATTTCTCTTTTTACACCTTTTATAAATTACGCCTATTTAAAATTTAGTGCTAGAATTGAGTATTACTGTACCTGACCGTAACGGTATAACCCTCTGACGTCATTGTGCTCTCTGCATATGGTGGAAATGAGTATTAAAGTACATAGGAGTTTGACGCATTTTGCTGTGTTTATTTCTGAATTGCCATTTATCAAGCATTTAATATAGTAATAAAATAATAAGTAGAAGACTAACTAAATAGGGACGTGAAATGTTATTGTAAAGTTGTCGTAGTTGCTTATTTTTTTCATTTATTGTTTTTTTTTTTCATTTATTTCTTTTTATCTATTTCTGACTTATTTTATTAGAAGGTTTTGTTTAACCGGTCTTATTCTTCTTAGTAAAACTTAGTTTACAACTGTGGTAAATAACATCTTATTTATTTATTTAATTTTGTCAACCATTGCCTCGAACTAAAACATTAATTATCATATATAGCTTCAGTGTAGATTATAGTTTAGGCTGTGGGAACGGACGGGTAGACCACTTCGGTCTCTACTTTCTTTAAATTCCTAGCGCTGCGTTTTCCTTATAAGAACTTCTCTTGTATGGTCAATAGAATGCAACTTCTTTAAAAATTTTTAATAGTCTTTTGGAAATTATTGTCTAACATATTGTTATGTGGAAGAAAATGTATAAATGATTTGTTAAAATTTCATTTACTTATTAATCTCTCCACGACCGCGGACACGCGGGCGTGTCAGTTAACAATAGATTTCTTAGAATTTTAATTAATTTCTTAGAAATTAACCTGGATGTGTTTATAACGAATGAAATTGTGACCATTAGATAATATGGTTACTTTATAATTTGTCTTCCTGTAATAGATAAATAAATAAAATAAAAATAAAAAAAGCTTTGATTCAAATCAAGTGGTCAACCAAGCTACATTTCATCTTAGTTAGTAAATTAATTTCTTACTAATTGCTGGCTATACATACTTAAATTTCTCTTTTTATTAATACTAAATGATACTAAATGACTTATTTCTAGTTATCTTTTTAATATGCATTAAGCAAGGTCCCCAGGTTGGGTAAAGATACCCACTTCTTTCTATCCTGTGCTATTTGCCTGTAATAGATAAAGATATATAATTAATACGGGTCACCGAACTTGGCAAACCATAATGGTGCTAGTTTCTCGTTCCACGTAACATCAGCGCGGTATGAATGGCGTTAAATTAAAAATTCAAAACAAAGCGAAGCGGCGTGTGGGCGGTTGGCTAAAGTGCGGAGGGCGGGCGGCGATCGAAGAGCGCGCGCGGAGCTGAGCTTGTGAAGAGGGGGCGGGCGGGCGAGGGGTAACGATCCGCGGCCGCCCGCAGTCTTCCAGCCGCGAGCGCGACGCGAGCATGAGTGACGTCGGGACGCTCGCTGCCATGGACGCCTTTGCGGGCGGCGCGAGGCGCAGGCCCTCGCGTCTACCGCCGCCACCGCCCTTCGTGCCGCCACCGCCGCCCCAGCGCCACGACCACTTCTATGTGCGCCGCAAGTCCCCCGTGCCCAGACACTCCTCTAACCTTACGCTCTTCGCGCGCTCCAATGGTACATCACCTACACCATGCTGCATCATACTGCACCGTGCACTCTTACCATGACACATGCAATATCCCATATTTGATCTAGGACAGACATTAATTATTTATTATAACGAATCCATTGTTGCACGTTTTTTGTACAGTAATCTTTTTCATTTTTGTGTATTTTATATTTTTACTATCCTGTATTTCTAAACATATGCATTTAAATTGACGTATTGTATATTCTATATCACAATCATGTTTAAATCGCATGTTACTCTTTACATATCTCTATCTTAATTATTATTGATACAAATATATTGTCAATTTTGTATAGGATATTGATAATAGTGTTCTAATAATAATTATATATAATTCAAAGTGCGGAGATTTTGGTAAAGAAAAAGAAAGCAATTTTTTTATTACTAATAACTGTAGATTCACAGTTTAACTAAGTTTTACTAGCACTAGATAAAGTTACGACTTGAAGTACATAAAATTCAAGTTTGGTACCTAAATTAATATCTATATAATAATAAGCTTATGATAAATTACAAAATGTGAAATTTAATATACCGTATGGAGGATTCGGTAAAGCAAAATGACAGCATCTTTAAAGTGCCGCAAGCGCTCTACCTATGTTCCTTATTGAAGACCGCATTCGTGCGTATATTTTCTTACTTATATAAAAAGGAGTTTTAATAGCAACAAAAGGCTTCGTACACGAACTTCGTTTATTATTCATATTATTGTAATATTTGATTTGAATAACTAAAATGCACGAAGGAACGCCGTTGGATAACTTTTGAAACATACTTAAATGGATCAAATTAAAAATAATATTTATTAAACATTCAATAATATTCAAATGCATAAGTTGACTCGTTAGTAGTTATACAACGTTAAAATTTAATTTAGTAGGGCTGCGCCTCAATGCCAATAAATATATAATGAAGGTGTCGCGTCGTGGCCTCGTGCAACTATATTAGGCATGTTCATGAGTTAGCCTTTTAACGTGTATGTTAATACTACGCCATTTTAATTGCCTCTCTAGAATGTTATATAAAACATTCCATGCCTAATAATGAGCAAATAGATAATAAGAAACTAGCACGATGTTCATCTCTAAACAATCTTTTAATTATTTTCATTTTATTTAGACTTAATAGTTGAAACACTAGAAAAAGTAGAAGTGTAAAGAGAACAGATAAAAATAATATTTATTTAAGAAAAATACTTTAATACAATGCTCAGTTTTTTAATCATTACATAAAGGCATCTTTGTTTGAAACAAAAGGCGTGCCGTAGCTAAAGGCAATAATTCAAAGAATGCAAAGCTTATGATGGCGACAAGGCTGACGGTCGTGGCCGCGGAACGCCCTTGACCCACCGCGGTTGGTTCCGCCCGTGTAGCCCGCTCTCCCGTTAGCGATATTCATTTCTCTCTTTGTTTACTCATTTGCATTCGCCAAATTGTTAAAGGAGAAAGATCAAATTATTATCTAGTATCCACGAATTCAAGTGTTAAAAAAAATTCATAAATTTTAAAATGAAACTTTTTAGTCACGAGAAACGGCAAAACATTTTTTTTTTCATTAGTTTTCATATTTATCTGTGTTTATTTAACTATCAAATAGACTAAATGAAGATGTCGAAAGAAAATTTTGTACTCGTATTCTGTGAAATATAGCTTTTTTATACATTACCTTAGAACAGTGTTTCTTAAACTTATTGCAGTCATGGACCACTTTTAGAATTTATAAAAATTCCACGGACCCCCTGTCAAAGAATATAATAGAATTTAAAAAATAAAACATTTTATTCGTAATTTACTCACACTTAATTACATATTATCAAATATAGCTAATGAGAAGGATGCTGTTAATTGATGATCTCATGAGATAAATAAATAAATATAAATATGTTGGGACGTTAACACACAGCACCATCTTGTATACATTATAACTTTAAATACATACATATTATAAATGTAAACACCCATGATGGAGTACAAACATTCGTGTTCATTACACAAATGAGTGCCCCCAGCGCAACTCGAACCCGCAACCGCTGGCACAGTAAGTAAGGTTACTACAAACTGAGCCAAACGTACGTGTGTAGGATTAAACAAACTACTAGTTAGTTTACTCCACGATTTTTTAATTATTGTTAATAAATAATTGAGCTGCGGCCCCCTGACACACATATTGCCAGACCCGCGGACCCTTCAGGGCCCGTGGACCCCACTTTAAGAAACCCTGCCTTAGAACGTCTTATGCCAAATAATGTTTATCTTACATATATTAAAGTTAAATCATATCAAAATATACTTTAATCAAATTGTCTTTTACAAGAACTTTTGAATCGTTAATTGTATATTTTTTAAATTTAAATTAAATGTTAGTCGATGAAGAATCTACCACCGGCTTGAAAGGCATTTCAGTTTATATACCTTAATCGTTGAAGATTAAAAATTAATATCTCTATAGTATTAGAATATTGTTTCATACTTCATTAACCGCCCACTTGCATTTCGTCACTCGCAAATGTTTTTGCCACACAAATTCTACTGTGAGCGATTGGCGACCTAATTTCGTTTATAAATCGTAAATAATTACATATTATGTTCACAGAATAAAAATAAGTTTATGAAACAAACAAATATGTTATTTACTTAATTAATAGTAACTATACTAAATACAACTTAAACTAATAATCCATTTCAAAATCCTTTATTCACTGTTGGTATTTCAAAAATTACCAGCAATTCAAAAACACTAATCTCAGCCTGAAAAGTGCTGCTATAAAAAACTCCGCGGGACTATAGTTTTTTTTTACCTTTTTGTATCGTACAAAAAAAATACAAAATCAATAACAATAAAAAAGCCTGGGGGCGGTCACGTCATTCCCAAGGTGTGTTACCTTCTAGAAAATCATTTAGGTATAGTATAATAGCATTTAGCATATCTTATTTTTTTATAAGCAATAGAAGCTGTAAGTAGCAAGTATGCATTCATAAATTAATGCAAATAAACGTATATAAAACATTTGAACATATGGTTCGGTACAGATTTTAAGAAATATTTGATAGATGCCTTTGCCGACGTACCGACGTATAGATACTACGGTGATTTTATTTTTAACCAGCTTATGCTATGTCGTATTTGTTTCGTCGTTTTACGTATCATGACGAGAAACAAGACGGAACACGGCCACGCGTTTTCACTACTCTACGTACTCTTGACATTGTGTTGCTATTACCGTTTACTCTCAAGCTATCTCTCATGTCATTGGCATATTTCAGTGGTTACGTCACGGTATCCTGGTAATCTTCTTATAAGTAACATGATTTTAACGATCAATTTCCTGTTAACGTTCAACTATAATATATTTTATAATTAACCAATTAGTTGCTGAGGAGAGCAGTTGTTATTTGTTAATAAATTAATATACTTTATTTCAAAGAAAGTGGTAACGCGTTCGCTTAGGAAACCGAGCGAAGCGGGTTCAAATCCCGGGTCTCGCACCTCTGATATTTAACGTGCGAATCATTTTTAACATGATTACCACTTGCCTTACGGTGAAGGAAAACATCGTGAGGAAACCTGCATGATGCATCTCTGAGAGCACCTAGGAAGTTTTCGAAAGACATGTGAAGTCGTGGTGGATCCCCCTCGTATTGAAAGAAGGCCCGTGCCCAGCAGTGGAACGTTAAAAAGAGCTGAATACAATTTCAAAACATATTTATGAGCTTTTCGATTAAGTAAACCCATTATATTAGTAGTTTTTAATCATTTTCCATAGGAGGAGGAGAGTCTCTACCGTGACCATGATTGTTGTAAACTAAAACATTCGAAACTTCGGGTACCAAAAATCTAAATAAATCCGAAAAGACTGTTTTTTTTAAATGTCAAATGTTTTTTTTTTTAATTTAAAATGTCAAATATTCGTGTAAATCTAATAAAGTATTACTTGTCAGAGTGAAAAAGATAAAGTTAAAGTTAGTCACTTACATAACGGCCACAACGATATTCATCCTCCGGGCGAGGGCCTTGGCCAAGGGCGAGCACATCGATCGTCGTTTAGTCCCTTTGCTCAGTATCCGAATTGTACTTGCGCACCTCTTTCCTCCGCCTGTTGAATCAACTTTACAGCTGGGCTACTTGCGCTCATATAACTAGCTAAAAGTTAAATTAACATTTTATACAAAACTTTCTGTATTTCAAACAAATATTATAAATATATTTTGACTCTAATCTTGTCTAAACTAAATTATCGCTGCTTTTGCAGGTGATATACTCGTATTTTAGAATGAATGAATGCTTACACCGTATGAAATATTTGGAATAAAACTTAATAATACTAATTTTTTTTTTAAACCACATTGACCTTTGGAGTGGGTGAATGGGGGAATAATCCAATAATATTCGAACTCGTATTGAGTACCAACTTTTTTACAAAATTACTTTTATGAATGAGCTCATGATATAGTTTCAATACTTATGTAGGTACTCTGTGCCTGGTACGAGGAGGCAGGATGTGTTAATAATAAACAGTACCATGTGATGAAGGTCGAACGGTGCCGGCGCCGCAATGAATGAGAGTCGCGTGCCGTAAGCCGTCACTCGACTCGACTATCACCTATTTTTAGATCTATTGACATTGTACGGCAACGCTGGTGTTAAATTCCTACTCAATATTACTTTGTTCCTTTAAAATAAAGAAGTTCAAGTTTGAAAATACACACTATAATTTATAACATTTAAAAAAAATCAAAGTATAAAATGAATGTCTTATTGATTGTTTCATTTTTTTCTTTTCAGAACCAAAGAAAGATAAATTAGAGAATGGTGGCGAATTAGTGAGGCCTGAAAGACCGAACTCGTTGACAGCGGGTAAACTTCCAAGGCGGTTATGCTATCAAGGAGATGGTGAGTCACAAATGCCATCATTATCTACCGTCTAAGGGAAACATCTGTCGCATTACTCATATACAATAGATACATAATAAGTACCAAGAATTTATTCTAAATATTTGATCCGATATTGAATTGTTTTTATTATTACATATGATAAAGATCAATTATAATTTAAAATGCTTAATAATAAGCTTATAAATATTATAACTCTAATTTATGATAAGCTGTCGTGGTTTTGTCCTTCGGTTTAACCAACGTCTGACGTACTATCTAATCTTCTAAATTTCATTAAAATAATGTAATTAATTAACATAATATATTCACTTATATATTTAATATTTATGTTAAACTAGCATTGCCCGCGGCTCCGCCCGCGTTCAGACGACCAAAAACGAAATTCTTAGGTTTTACATATTACTATACTCTTACATTGCAGTTTTTGTATTTTTTCTCAGACATGAGATATTTTCCCGCGGTAAAAAATTATCCTATATGTTACCCGGATAACCAGCTATCACCATACCAAATCTCATCAAAATCCCTCCAGTGGTTTTTCTGTGATGCGATAACAGACAGACAAAATTTTTAAAAACTATAGATTCGGTCTCTATATCGATTATAAAACCTTATTTCAATAAGATTTTCCAAAAAAATATTCAATGTACAGATTCGACTTAGTTAGAATTTTATTATATGTATAGATTTCCAGTAGGTATATTTTCAAAAATAGTTTCATGTACTTTTTAGATTAATTGCCAGTTTTACTATGTAGTGAAATGTATTTTGATGGTTCCTTTTTATTTTGAGTTTGCTACTAAAGAAAATCAACTAATGGTAAAATATCGTTACAGTGAACTATGGCGGAGGCGTGGGTGGGGGTAGCGAAGCCGACGTCAGCGCGGAGGAACAGCTCATGCTGTCGGAATTGCCGGAGCCTCCAATCGCGCTGTCGGAGATCGGCCCCATCCCGCCGCCGCCTATGTTCAGCTCGCCCAGTCCTCCGCGACACCATCACTCTCACCCCCTAACAAATACTCTCTCCGATTGTGAGTATTGCTGTATTCAGGTTTAGTGTTAGAATAATTTAAACCCTTATTGGATATTATGGTTCAAAAATCTAGACTGGTTTCTTTAAATACAGGTTAAGTTAATATTTTCTGTATGTTCTCAACAACCCGATATAAACTTCTTCATCAAACATGCCAGTCTTTCAGGTAATGTCAGTCAGATAAAATTGGCGTGTTAAACTGGGAGGGCAAGTTAAGTCGGCGGTTCTGCGCCTTAACTCTCTCTGGTCGTGCCAAAGTATAGACCCATCAAAAATGAAAGAAATCTTTGAGAATTAATGAAATAGATTGTGCCCTTGTGTCTGTGCACACTTGTCTGTATAAATATTATAAATGTGAAAGTTTGTGAGTACGTATGGATGTTTGTTTACTCTTTCACGCCAGAACGGCTGAACGAATCTGGATGAAATTTGGCGCAGAGATAGACTAGTCTGGAATAACACATAGGCTACTTTTTATCCCGGAAAATATACAGTTCCCGAGGGATAGATTTGTTTTTGTTTTTCTAGAGGCGAACCCGATTGAAGCGAGGGTGAGCCGCTAGTGTACTATAATATTTTCTGCTCCTCGTTGAGATTGACCGCCGTGGCCGAAATCAGTCAGAACATTATTATTATATTAAAAAAATATTATTTCCATGAACCAAACAGCTGAGGACGAAGACTCACAAGACGAGGACGAAGCGGACGCGGGCGCGGACACGTCCCGCGTAGAAGAGATCCCGCCCAAAGAGCCGCTATTCAACGCGGTGCCTCTTAAGTCGGCGCTTAAGAAGCGGCCGGCCGCCTCGCCCGCCGCCACGCCGCTCGCCACGCCGCTCGCGCCGCGCCAGGACCACCACCACGCCAGCTTCAAGTCAGTATACTGTGTGCAATTATATGCATGATAGACCAGAAAATCCTAGGATATTTGTACTATATTTAACTTGTAATTCTAGGATGCGAACGGTAACAGTTTAAAGAATAGTAATTAATGATAAAGTCAACTAACTATAACAAGTATAACGTAAATTGGCGTCCAATTAATAATTATAATTTAGGAATCATTTAACTATAATTGTTTGGCGCCAAAGCACTGTGCTGTGACTTCACTATATTGTACGTGTACGTAATTCTACAGTTGAATTCGCGATCATATTTATACAACTCATATGAAAGTGTTGGCGCATTTAAAGTTTTTAGAGAATATCTATCTTACTGATCTTATTTATTAAGTATTTGACATTTTAAATAAAACAAAATTTTTAGATTTTGTTGCCGTTTTTTTTTTTAAGTTTTTCGAGAAGCCAGCATCTCGTATGATTTACAGCAAACAAGATTACAGAAGAGACAAAGGTTTCTGATACTTCATAAGTAAAAGAATCACAATAATAAGAAATATCAGGTTTCAGAATTCATTTAAAATGTCATTTGACACTTTTTTATAATTTAGTCGGATATTTTATCTTTATTTACAATCATTATTATCTGGGAATTTATATACAAAAGTTATAAATATTATTATGTGGTGTTTAGCCAGACTAATGCCCGATATCACCAACATCCCATAAGCTATCACCTATGTATGGTATCCCTAGCCTAAAAGTCCCCCTAAACTAGCCCCTAAATTAAATTACGTTTTATCATCGTCAAAGCCAGTATTTCTAGTACCTATATTTAAGTGGCATTTTAACATTTAGGTGACCCCTAACTGTCGGTGAAACAGAAACAGCCCTCTAACCATCCTTAGGGGATCCCTTATACTTAGGTGATGTTGGTGAAATCGGCCATTAATGGCTCAAATCGCTTTATTAGAGTATTTTGTGTTTTTTTGTTCGAGCAAAGCGTCAAATCTATTGGTTTGATTCTTATCGAAATATTTGGTATTTAAATTTTATAATTAGGCTTAATTAAAACCTGGTATATTAAATCTAACTACAATGACAAGAGCCGGAGATAGAGCAATAGAATTACGCACCTAGTGAAGCCAAACTGGGTCACAAATCATTTATATTAAACTCTATAAAATTGCGTATGTTATTGCGTAGCTTTATCTTTTAAATAATATTCTATTGAGTGGTGAAGTATTACGTATTAAACGTAATACTTTAAGCTGATTATTTTGTATTGATACATGTATTAAATCGTTTCCCAAGCGAAGTGGTTGGGCTTTAAATGATTTTATCATAAGATTGAAATTTACTAATTCTCATGTTTGGTTATGTATTAAAGAATAAATGCTACGAAGAGCCTGTATGCAGATACGAGTATATGATTAATATTATAAGAAGAACTAAACCTTTTACAATGTTTGAATGATAAAAGAATGTGTTTTACAAATTTATTATTAATTTTTATATTTTTATTTATTGACGAACTTAATGTCGATTAATGTTTCCGCCTGCAGTAAATAATATTGTATACATTATTCATCGTATAAAGTATTGTATACTTTTCGCATTCAGGTCAGCAACACGTATTTGTTAGCCGAGTTTTATAATATTTATGAATATTTATGTTTAATCAACTATTGTGTTTTGTATATTTAAAGAGCAAAAAAAACTATTAAATGTATATTTTGGGTAGGTGTGTAAAAATACTGACTTTATTTTTTATAAAAAAGAGAAAGAAGAACATTTGAAAAATCTTTCGCATTATAAAAATATCCGTTTTTTATTGATGTTCGTCGTTACTATTTTAGATAAGGTTTATAATGATTAATTATTATTATACCCATATATTTTATTGGCAATATACTGTTTTTAACTTACATGATTTAAAAGACATTTTTCAAAACTTGATTATTAGTGCATTAATTTTGATGAGAAGATAAAATACGTATGAGATTTTATAAATTAAAAAATATAATATTTTTGCATAAATTCTTCTATAAAAAATCAGCTTTTATTTACATGAAATATGACTCAAGTACAAACTATGCAATTTTAATTAACCACTATGACTTAATGCGCGCAATATTTAGAATTAAACATACATATATTCATTAGCAATTCTAACAGAGCTACACGTTTGCGTGGACAGGAAAGTTGGCACGCGGTTACACAAAAGATCGGGTAAATCGCAACACGAGTTGCAAAAGTACTCGACAAATTATTGCACTAATATAAGTCGTACAACAAATTGGTTCTCGCGAAAGTATTGTATTTATCCGTTTATTTTCATCATGCGGCGAGCAGGCGGCCGCCGCCCAAGCCGAGGATCCGCATATGGTAACACCCTCTCGTTATATCGATGTTGTCGAGCCACGACTCACAGACCTCCCGACGGTCCGCTTGCCTCCGCTCATGCATCGTGCATCGCACGCTTTCGACTCTCATCTGTCTTCATATCTCTAGCTTCCACTCCGACTCACCCGACTCATCACACAACCACCTCGATCATTAACGAAACTATACTCTCACCCACTCACTTGTTCACTCACTCATTCACTCCTTAAATAGATCTTACAAAATTACCGTACATACCTTATAAAATATCGTAATAATAGTAATATTGATTTGGTTCAACTACGTATCGACTCCTATACCGCATAATTCTATGTCGTGTAATTGAATGATATATGTTTCGTAGGTATATTTGGCTGTTTTACGCTATTGTTCTATTTCTTGTTGTCTGTGCTGCATGCATATATGTATATCGGTTGCATATCTATAGAAAACTGTCAAATATCTGTCGTTTTGTACACATTTAAAATATGTGTGTGTCGTAATTTATTTAAATTTTCTTGTAAGGATGAAGCAATAATATTTATTTATTCGGATTAAAGTATAACATATGCTGTTAATTTTAGCAATTAAAATATTTTATCAAAACATAACAATAGAGAAAATATCTGAGCGTTCTTAAGCATAAAGCTGATCACGTAAATCTGATTATGCGATTCATAACTAATTCGTAAAATCATCACGGTATTGACGACACTCATATTTTAACGCACACTTGTATAAGTAAAGTTAAGAAAATGGTTCGACACATTAGAAGCATATTAGCATTTAACTCATACATCGTCGTGCAATGAATTAGTTTCATATATAATTAATGTTTTTTTTTCGTATTCTGCAGTAGCCGGCCAGTGCGCGTGGGCAACGCGTTGGAGAACAAAGAGAATGCGCGGCCGTGGGAGGGCGAGTACCGCGACGAGTATGCGAGCGAGTCGGAGCGCGTGGCCGCCAAGCTCGCGCGCAAGGAGAGCCTCAACATCAAGCTCGCGTTGCGTCCCGACCGCCAGGAACTTATCAACAGGTACATTTCCTACATTTAAATGTATTTAGTTTTTTGTTAATAATAAAATGTTATCTATGACGTGAATTAAGTTGTAACAAAATCAATAAAAATCATATACGAGTATGTGACGACAAGTAAGTATGTTTTACTATAGATTACAGTAACGTAAGGTAACTTTTTCAACAGATACACGGTAACTTTATGTATTTTTAAGTTTAATTACTGCGTGTAAAGTGGTCTTCATGTCCCTTTGGCCTAACTTATACTGAAGACAGGACAATGTATTCCTGCACATTTAAAATATGTGTGTATCGTAATTTATTTAATACTAGCATTGCCCGCGGCTCCGCCCGCGTTCAGATGACCAAAAACTAAATTCTTAGGTGTTACATATTAGTATACTCTTACATTGCAGTTTTTGTATTTTTCCTCAGAAATAAGATATTTTCCCGCGGTAAAAAGTATCCTAGGATCGCGCGCTACATCGCCCGGTTTATATAGCTTGAGCAGGCGGTCGAGCGATGCGGGGCAGAGGGGATGGACTCGCCGTAGGCATCTCAATGCTCGCCAAGCATTAAAAATGTTTCGCTACTAATTACTTCTAACAACGATATCTCAAAAACTATTCATCTGATTGATTTAGTGTAAAGAGCAATTTTAATCTGCATTAAATGACTAAGCTAACTAAAATATTCATTTGGATAAGGATTAATACCGAACTAAAGAAAATAACTTTGAAAATAACGTAATGTTTTTAATTAAAAATGTTAACATAAAAGTGGTTATTGTAAGTCAACCGTAAGAGATAGAGATATGCTATCGCGGACTTTTTTGTAGCATTTTTATAGATTTTGAATTCTCTAGTACATTACTTAACTGTATCTTTGCTAGTTTACGCGGCGTTCGCGTGGAAAGTTCCCATTTGGCGAGATTTTTTGCGACCTCTTCAACATTTGTCGCCGTATTTCAGCTAATTTACATAAAAGCATAATAAATTATATACCTAAACCTTCCTCAAGAATTACTCTTTCTATTGTTGAAAACCGTATAAAAATCCGTTCAGTAGTTTTCGAGTTTATCGCGTACAGACAGACAGGAGGACAGACAGGAGGACAGAAAGACGCGGCCGGGGGACTTATTTTTATAATAAGTATAGATGTATTAAAGTGTTCAAGAAAAACTTCAGGTGTAAGATCGTTGAACCAATTGGATGTGTGAGGCAGTAATTAACATGAGCACATACATTTGTTAAATACACAGCATCTATTACTTGATGATGACGTCCAACCCATAACCCGTCATAATAGACTTATTTCAAATGTCAAATAAAACAAAACTGGTATTATTAGGCTCCAGTCTAGCCCTGTGGATGACGAATCTGAGCCTTGTAAAGTAAAAGACAATTTCCGTGAACTATTACTTTTTTCTATTAAACACTCATTATTAAAAGCCGTTATGGCTTTTTTTACCCAAAAGACATCTTAAGTGGACGTTGGTTGATATTTTGCCTCCTTAAAACCCAATAATCGTACAGATGCTAAGAGAAGTATTTTGGAACGAACGTGCTCTAAGTAAGTGGAATTTTGTAGTGGTGTTAATTAATGTACAGTCTTTGATTCTGATCATTGTACAGATGATAGAAAAAGGAGGTACAATATCTCCGGAGTTACAGGGATTTAGATCGTCTATGTGTCGATCGGATGGTCGACAAGATGAAGTGCCCAGCAATGGAAATAGCGAATGAGGTTAAACTGGATGACTTTTCGTCAACCTCATTCTGAAATCTACTCCAAAGAAGTCTCTACCTCAGGACTCTATTCTGATCAAACTTAGCAAAAGAGATGCTTATTTGTCCTCTATAATAGGCATCGTGTGCATATTATGTGCTTCTACAAATTATGTCAATTAGTTGCAACATGTCCATGGAGACAATAGTAGCCTTGAAGTATGCCGTTCGTGGGCATAGCGCATATACCGTCAATTGCTAGCTTACTGCGTCCAGAAAGGAAGCTGGCGACCAAATTGGTCGTATGATCTCTTTCTAATGCCTTAACATGGCCGGACACTATCGAAGACTGACTGCCAATGCCTCTTCCTTATTCACTCGATGATACATGATATAACAACATACTAATCTATATATCTTTACGAATGTCTAGTACTGTACTGTCCGAACACAGTCCTAATAAAATTAAAAATTTTAAGTAACCCCCGACACAAAAAATAACCTCTAAAAAGTAAAAAAAAAATCTCTCTTGGCCTTTCAAATATTTATAATATTAGTTATAAGTTATGGGCCTCCGTTTACATATTCAAGATCTTTTTGTAAATATTGCCCGAAATAAAAGATTAAATAAAAAAATATATTTGATGATGAGCGCCGCCGCGTCGGGGTGCCACTAATATTTTATCATTAACAATCTTTTTTATTTGTATTCTGGTTTTAATGTTATTGAGCCGATTTTGATAAAACATGTCTAATTGTAATATACACATCATGCCCTTTCTTTTGTTACCCCACTGCGGTATATTTGAAAATATTCGATTTTTCATACCCACTTTGATCCCCCATCTAGTAAATGGCTGCACTAATTTTGATAAAAATGTCTAAGAACCATCACCAAGAAACTAACTTTCAAATAAAAAAAACCCGCATCCAAATTGGTTCATCCGTTTAAGAGCTACGGTGCCACAGACAGACACACACACACAGCGGTCAGACTTATAACACCCCTCTTTTTGCGTCGGGGGTTAATTAAAAAATCACCAAAAAGAATTACGACTGCGACCATGGCAAAAGGCAAATTTTTATATGGTTCATTGATGTATATTATGACTTTATTTCGGTATATTATCGAAAGTCTTTTGCTTTGCTTTTGATTAAGGGTGACTTTCACAAATGTTATTATAATCATATTCTATTTAAAAGTCATTGTAAAACTTAAAGGTGACCTTAAATAAACTATGAGATAACATGTTTTGAAATGTCCATATTTCCTAAGTTAAAATATTTAAATAATTTGTTATATTTTTTAATGATTATTTACTATTTTTGAATCTATTCTATTAATAACATACTAATTAGTAAAAATGTAAACATTCCAGAAAAAATAATAATACTGAGTTTCGCACTTGGAAACGTAGTAAATAGTAGGAAGTACCTTGAATGTTGCCGATATAATCTAACATCCGGCAATGAACCAATTTTGGCACACATCCTCAATAGAATAGCGGAGATGGAACAAATATATGTTTAATTTTAACATCGTGCTCATCTTAAAACTATGACAATGCGTATGTAAAGGATTATGTAATATAGTATGTATTTGACAATCCATATGTAATATACAAAAGCTACATATTTCATCACCATGAGAAATCGTAGTTCGTTGAGAAATGTCGGTCGTATGGGCATGTTGGTCATATCTTACGCCATTTACGTTAATTAACTTTCTTTTGCTTTGTGATTGGAAAAATGTATTTTTTTTTAATTTTCTATTATTTTACCGTATGGACATATATATATATATATATATATATATATATATATATATATATATATATATATATATATATATATATATAAAACATTATTAATTATTTTAACCAACAAGGGTAAATTAGCCGTCTAAATTAAACGCACTAATCTTGGGAATTATCAGTCCGATTTAAAATTCTATGAAATTTATGGCTTATTTATTGAGGAATTTTCTAGGCTATCTAACGTTACGCTTACCGATCTCTACAGAAATCGCTAACTTTCACTCGTATCAGTTAAATTTTGATATATAATAAACGAATACTATAAAACGAATGATATATTGTGTGACATATTTTTATATCGCTGTAAATTTATGTACATTAAATCTAAACATATACTTTACTATCGTTGCAAACAAACAAACCGTTCAGCTTTATGATATATATGATACTTCATCTACTCGTGACGTTTAAATGTTTTAATAATCCCATTATTCCCCTTCACGAGCGAGATCGAGATGAATTAATGCTTTGAATTAGCCTCGTTTAGGATAATCGAACTCTGTATTGTTGTACAACACATTAGTTCTATAATAGCTTCGTGTGTGAGAGTATTATTGTCTGGCTAATACGAACGCCTGGGAGTTTTATTTTTGTTTGCATAGTCACTGTCGAGATCCTAATTTCTTCTTATTTCTTTGATAATAAAATTCTTGGCAGTGAAATTTGTGTTTATTATTATTCCACTTATTAAATGTGTCATGCGGTCAATGAATACAAAATGTGAAGTAGTGAAAACGTAGCATTTATGAATCATTATAGAAATGTATATTTGACTTTAACCGCAGATGAACTTGACTGACCAATAAATGACCTAGGTTACTTAATTCATTGAGACTAGATTATGGCTATTGGGAATAAGCCAAGAGTTTTTTTGTTAATCGGACATTATGAACATGCTTACGGCATCGCTCAAGCTTTGGCAAATTTTATATCGTCGCCCGATCGCCAGTGCGCGCTCACAAGTGAAGCGCATATATTTTATCTTTAACATCCTGATACTGAGAGAATATTACGTTAGTGTAATTTTCGATGATTTTATGGTGGTGTATGGTGTTGTTATTGTTAGAAAACCATGCCGACTGTTCAGTTTGATTGACGCAGGAACATACTGGTGGTGCAGAGTGAGCACGAGCGTCAGGAGTCGTGGGAGGCTATCGGCGCCCGGCTGATTCGCCGCCTGTCCATGCGACCCACAGCGGAGGAGCTCGTCGAAAGGAATATACTTAAAAGTAGGTATCTTGAACGTTTATTTACATATATGTATTTAATATTTAGTTTTTTTTGATAACTCCGTAAAATTATAAAAATTTTAAGAGTGTTGATGTAAAGGACTTTTGTAATAAGTGGTATTCATTTTAAAGGTCAGTCGCCCGCCGAAGAGAAAAAGCAGAAGGAAGAGAAAAAGCGGTACCTCTTACGCAAACTTAGTTTTCGACCGACTGTTGATGAACTCAAAGAGAAGAAAATCATACGATTCAGCGACTACATTGAAGTTACACAGGTACATTTAGCAATTAATGTAATATTTATTTAAAAATACATAACTTTTTTATATAAAGCTAGTATATATCCGTTGCTATGCCTATGTTTTTCTTTCACTGGCCATGCAATTCCAGAAATAAATATACCCCATGTACTATTTTGCCAAGGATTTATCTATCGGTATGCAATTTTTCATCCAAATTTGTTTAGCTATTTAACCGCGATAGAGTAACAAACGCCCATACCAACATACATAACATACCAATAAATTTTCGAATTTCATAGTAGTCATCTCACTACTATATACCTATAGGTACCTATACTAATATTATAGAGATAAAGTTTGGGAGTTTGTGACGTTGTATGGGTTGATCTTTGGATCTACTGAACTGATTTAGATGAAATTTGGTAGTAGTTTGAGACCCTGGGAAGGACATAAGATACATTTTATCCCGGAAATCATCCCTTAGGGGGGTGAAAATGGGGACGAAAGTTTGTATTGGGAATCAAGCTAGGGACGAACCCGAGCGAAGAGAGGGTGAGTTGCTAGTATTTATATAAAGAGAGAGATACCAATGTATATGTAAAATAAAACATAAACGGTCGCATTGCAGGCGCACGACTACGACCGGCGCGCGGACAAGCCGTGGACGCGGCTGACGCCCCGCGACAAGGCCGCCATCCGCCGCGAGCTCAACGAGTTCAAGAGTTCCGAGATGGCGGTGCACGAGGAGAGCAAGCACCTCACTAGGTACTATACTAGCATATTATCATACTTGTTTTATTTTTAACGACTTACTGGACTTACCTAACAACGAAAGTTATTATGATTCCTGATAGCTAACACATTTTTATCGGAATTAAAAATAGCTTATAGCGCTCCTCGGTGATAATATTGCTTCTATTCCTATTTGTGAAAGAATTTTAGAATCGGAGCTGTTTTTTTAGAGATAATATACAAAATACAAACTAAAAAACTTAGCCTCTTTAAATATTTTTTTACTATTAGTGTCGATCGAAAAAATAGTTTTATTTGAAATGTCAGTTACTTTATTCACTTAAATTTATGAAAGTATTACTTATTTTATAAAATTTTTTCTAGGATTCGAACCCAAAACCGCAAGATTTGAAATTGTATGTGCTAGCCAATAAACCTCATGGTACATTCTGTTACAATTTAACGATATGGGCCTAATAAATTTTTACACTGAACATGCAGCAAACAGAATAATAAGTGAAAGAGAAACGAGACTTTTATAAATAAATAATTTTTCATGTCACAAAGGTCAGACTAGGTTACAAAGACCAATGCTTTTTCTATTCTCTACCTGTTTTGTACGTCGTGTGCCGGATCAATGAAACCTAACGAAATAAATTGGATTGTTGATTTTATAATATTCCAAGCATTTGGCACACTAATTGGCAACTATATAAATCTGGCCGTTGTTACGAAGGTTGCATTCGTACTATTTGCCAAAATATACTTGAAGTCGTATAGAAAACCTCGTCTATTATTCAGAAGCGCTAATAGGCAGTTTTTATAAAATTTGTACTTCTTCAACGTTTACATTATTGAATGTATTATACCTTTACTATCTAAATGAGGATCAATGCTTAGTTTTTCTTACAACCAATAAGTACATGTAACGGAATTTCGCTTCATTTTATTTTATGGATGATTATGTATAAATATTATTGTTAGGGTTACTGGCCTATTTTATAATACAACGCGTCGCCCAATAAATAACAAAAAATATATAAAAGCTTTATTATTTGCTCTACAAATATCTAATACTGTTACTAATTTGAGTTGTCCATGTGTGCAGGTTCCATAGACCATGACGGCTGTGCCTTAGCCCCGGAAAGGACAGTGCGAGTAGACGACGCAGCGAGCGCACCTGTGATTTAAATGTATTATACTTTAAAAATATTGACTTCTTCCCACCTAAGGAAGATTCGTTTGCAATAATTTCAACAAACGCAGCGGTAAAGTGTGCATTCTGAACTCATACTGCTGTCGTCTCAACGGTCGCGGGCCGCGACCAGCGATCGACTCCGCTTCCCGCTGGCGTTACGATACTATAGTTAGTATAGTTAACTTTTATATTTAGTTGATGTATCTTAAGCATACCCGTACATTCTTTTAATTGACCTTCGAGAAAGGTTAGTGATACTGATTACTGATTATTGTGGTGGAGATTTGAGTTTTAGTGCCTCGGCAAAGTGCGAGGTGTTTTAAATGTGAGACGCGTCCCGTTTGTGAATTATGTACACTTGTGATTTCTTCTTTATTTTCGTCTGCTGTCAATTTATTAGTCATTGAGCTAGATTTGAATTTGATCGTATTTATTTCTTATAATTATTGTTTCGGTCACAAGTTTCGTTTTATGATTTGTGCAAGCGTAGCGGTTATAGAGGGGTGATAGCGAGCTTCTTTTGCTTAATTTTAAATTTAAATAATTGTTGATCTTTTCTGTAGATGTGTAGCGTTGTTTGATATTGTTCACTGAACTCTTCGCTTTTCTCGGAGATACTGCCACAGATTTTCATCGTTTCAAAAACGTATTATTAGGGAGTGCAATTTATTGAATCTGTTGCATTCTGTATTTAATTAGATGTTGCAAAAGATTTACTCTACCAATTTTGTATTTAGAAAAATTCACAATTATTCAATACCTAGTAAATACCAATATCCTTCATATTTATTTAATTTCAATTAAATTATTATGATATATTTAATATTGATTTTAATTTAATAATTATATATTAACTAAAACTCCACCAACTATACTTTAGTATAATAATTGTATAATTATTCACGTTTTCTTTTCTTAGCACTTATAATTAACTTTACCTGACTAACTAATAGATTTTTATAACAAAAGAATGTTGTTAAAATGTATCGTAGATAAGAAAATACGCAAAATTTGAATTTTATTATTTTTGATTATAATTATTACTTTAACTGTAATGCATTGTATGGTTTAAGCCGACAATAAAAATATTGTTACTGCTTAAAAAATAATTTAAAATAATTCAAAAACTAATGAAGATAATTTTAGCATGATAATTAACTTGAATAATTCTGATTTTTATTCATTAGTACAGGGAGATACCGAGTGTTTGATTGTAAGATATAAAATTTCTGTTATTGTTATAACGTCTCAAATTAGAAAAATACAAAATTTAAATGCTAATTGGGTAATTCAATAAAAAATCCGAAAAGTTTTTGTAAAATTATGCCAGTTTCTTCCTACTAAGGTAAACACATGCTATTAAAAGGCCCAATTAACAAACAGTTGTGAAAGTCGTGTAAATGGCCACGTCCAGCCAGTACGGAACGAACAACCTCGGCGGGAACAACTTGTTAACTCGTATCGCTCTAGCCTAGACCAGGCTAGGCTATAGGATAGGATAAGTCAATCAAAAGTAAACGAAGTATCCTCTAAAGGTATTTAGTAAAGGATTAATTAAAACTAGCTATTTCATTATTATGGAAATTTCTTCGAGATTACTATATTATTTCATATGTGATATATCTTGTTTAGTTGTTATATGTATTTACAAGGTAATTATTGTAATTTAGAGAGCAATAATACTGCTGAGTTTGTTCTTCGATTTTGTTGTGATGTGGTTTTTTTATTAATATCTAATTGGTCGTAATATTAATATATAAGTAAGATGCATTTCATTGAAGCGACATTCAGCTCCGTAGCGGTGCCATTAAATATATGTATTCGAAATGTCATGAAATAGGTATAATATAAATTATTAATTTGGATTGCTCAGCCTCTTAGATGTCCATTTATTTGAAAATATTGTATATATATAAAACGGCGACATTTTGATTTTTTCAATAATAAATATTTAATAAACAGTGAAATTAATGTAAGGCCAATATCACAATTACTGTTCCATACGCCGTTTGCGAGGAGATGCACGCGACGGCTACTCGTGAGACCATTCCATTTGTAGGATAAAGTGGAAGCCAAAATGACGACTTATTTTTCTATAAACGATTTTGTTAGATCGCAATTAAAGTTATATACTTAGGTGAAACGTAGATGTTTATCGATATTGTAATAATAAGAAGTTCAGATTTCCAAAGATCTAAAGCTCAACTGAAATTTTTAGCTAGCTGATGGTTTGCCAGTCGTTGGAATATGTATATTTATGCAAAACTAACCAAGTATAGGTTGCAATGATGGTCATCCGATGTCACTTTGTGTGTACATACTTAATTACCATAAAATGTGATAAGACTCTTATGTTGTAGTTTTTTTTTATAATTATTTAAGTACACTAAATTTTCATTTGTATAAATTTTCTAAGACTATGAAAGTGTCAAATGGTGCTGTTCTTAAAGCAACAGAATTCCTTCTGTAAATTTGTACTTCACGGTAGAGTTGTATTTTGTATACCTAGCGTTATCTATGTACGGATGATTAAGCGATTTGTACTTTACTTTGACAACATTTATCGTAAAGCTAGATATGTTAAATCATTTGAAACCGGAATCCGCGTAGCTAGAAACAATTTTTTATCGTCTCACTGAGCAAAATTATTTTAAATCATGCGCTGTTTAGCATATAAAAATTATTATAAGCGAAAAAGATCGCCATGTTATTTGAAAAAATATACAAAAATTAATTAATCAATTGTATCGATAGACATTCTTTTATTATATCTGTACATAATTTAAGTACGATGTAAATTTATGGAATCTCTTTATTTCCATTTATATCACGCGTATCTTTTAGTGCTATTAGTTCAATCGCTGTAATCGGTTTATTGTTGCTTTTCATTTGAATACTATGTAAATGATTAAATGACATGTTGTAATAGTAAGTATATATTAATAGCCATACAAATATTTGTTTTATATAACATAAGTTTGTAAATATTACGATTATACATTAAGTTTTATACTCTATTGTTTTTGATTTCTTTCAATTCCCTATACTCATAATAATTATTACTTATTCTTTTTTATCTTTATTAAAGTCTTAATTTATCTATAATTAATATGCCACTAAAAACATTTTTATGTAAAATGTTGCTAAGACGAGACCATATGGCTCGCATTGTCATAAAGTTATCAGATCTCATGTAGAGCCAAGCTTCTAACTCTACACGTCCTAACTCTACAAGTCTTAAAGTTAGGGCTTGTAAAGTTAGGACCTTATTCAAAATATGTGGCTTAGATATATCGAATAAAAATAACCAATTTAACCCAAGCATACAGAGCAACTTCCTTAAAAAAATTCAGAATCAGTTCAGTAGTTCCGAAGATTACGTTTTACATACAAAAAAACAAATCTTACCTCTTCACAAGAGTGTGAGATTAAAGAGCTAAATGATTCAATGAAACATGGCAAGATAAAGTTATTATAAAACTGGAAAGCGGTGTAGTGACCCGCACCATATCATGAGGTTGTAGAGACTTTCGATAGAACTTACGTTAAGTATCGGCGTCGCTAGCCGCGGAGAAAGTTAACTGTAGTGCGTACCCGTTACCGCGCAGATGTGGCCGCCGCCGCAGTCGCTCTGGCTCACTCCGCGGCCGACACACAGCTGCGTCGCCTGCTAGCTGCTGCTACATACACTATACCACTACACAATGTTTACACTCTGCCTAACCATCCGGCAAAAACACGACAGAAAGCGATAGTGTTCCATATAGTAAAGCTCGTTTGTGCTAAACTTAAATCGTTCATAGTGGATGGTGGACTATTTATTTGTAAAGGACTGTGTAAAGTGCAACGCCCTGGATAAAGGATAACCATGACGTTCTCTGGAAGCATGAAAGAGAGTAAGCCGCGAAATGTCAAAGACACTTGGGAGTCTGAGGTAAAATACTTTATTGTCACGATAAAAATTATATGCATTATTATATTTATTGTTACCATAAATATTAAATGCTTATTATATTTTAATTTATTTATCTGGTACATCTGTGATTCACAGACGTAATGAATGGAAAGATCTATCAATGGGGTACTCATTATGTTGCACGAGTTTCTTTATAACCACTTAACAATTGTCACTTTCTCTTTGATATGAAACTTTTATTTAATTTATAAAGAGTTACTAATGTAATAAAAAATGAGATAAATAGCAGTTTAATGGATAAAATATTATAATTTTAATATCTTGCTTTAAACCGTGTCATCGAGTTTTCGGCTTAATATAAGCTACCACACCTAAATTAAGAAATATTTATTTGCTTGATTTAAATATATCATTTAAAGGATATTTTTTTTTAAATGTATGAAAATTGTAAGCACTGACTTGTGAACTTAACAATTTAATGAGAAAATCACGGAAGAGTTGCCAAGCGTTAATTTGTAATAAGATACTTTCGCCTTAGTAGCCCTTTTAAAGCTACCGGTTTTAAAGTATACTTTTAAGACGTATTTTATTATATCCATATAGATAAATAAAATTGAAGTGTCTGTTTGTAATGTCAAAGTAACAGATTTTTACTAAATGCATATTATGGATGTATACACGGTACATATACCAAAACAACATTTTTTACAATTTTTGTCTGTCTGTATGTTTGTTCCGGCTAATCTCTGAAATGGCTGGACCGATTTTGAAGGGACTTTCACTGCCAGATAGCTGATGTAATAACAAGGGCCTAAATGGCTACTTTTATTTTAGAAAAAAAATAGGATCCCACGAAAATAATTAAAACCAATGAAAAGTTTAATAATATCCGATTCAAATAGGGAAGTTGTATTTATACCCTAGGGACGAACCCGAGCGAAGCGAGGATGAGGCGCTAGTAATTTATATAATTTTATAAGCAGCTTGATTTGATATTACATCGTATTGCCTACTTTCAAATATGTGCTGACGATGATTTATTTAAAAAAATATGCTTTATTATATATATATATATATATATATATATATATATATATATATATATATATATATATTGAAAACCCATTACTATTTAATTGATTGTGACATATCGATTTGTAATGCATCATTTTACTCGAATAAATGTGAGGCGTACAAAATGGTTACGTTTATTAACTGTGTAAAATTGTTGTTATTTGAAATACTCTTTGTTTTCCGCCTCGAGAACTGTAGTTCAAACAAAATAAAATTTTTATTTACTAATATTTATATTCATTGTTGAGAGGTGTTAAAAATCAGTATTTTTCCTTAAGTGTCTGTAGGTATATATAATTTTGGTTTTCAAAACTGTAACTTGAGTTTCTTATACGTACTACATTATTTTAATTATTATGGTAATCTTTTAAATTATTGTATATTCTTGGGAATTATGCTTTTAGGGTTCCGTACCTCAAAAGGAAAAAAGCAACCCTTATAAATCACTTCGATGTCCGTTTGTCTGTCTGTCATTTGCCCTTTTTCAGGCGTCACGCGTGGAAGTATCGAGTAAAAAACTCAGGTCTGTCCTAATCCCTAAGAGTTGTGAAAAAATCAAACTTCTAAGTCGACGCAATCAAAAGATGCGCTGTTTATGCTGTATATACACACTCAAAAATGTACATAATCAAAACCTTTTTTTTTTTAACGTTGGGAAATGCATTTATGCACGAGGTGTGGGACTCACCGGCAAAGCCAGTACTACCCACTAAAACCCAACAAAGCCTTCCACCGTCTTAATGGGGCGTCGCAGGATCGCTTACGTATTCAACTACGACGCCCCGACGGCAGGTCTGCCAAAGCAGACCACAACAACCACGGGGTTGCTCCAAGGTCCACTCTGCTATCAGAGAAGTACCAGGAGCAACCCGCACGGTACACCGCCCTCCGAAGAGGGCCACCTCCCACCGCCCACCGAAGTGGGCCACCTCCCTGTGCGTTTCTAGGCTTCGCGCCCGGTTGGGTTGCCGGGCACTACTGAGCCCCCCTAACACATAATCAAAACCTATAGGGTAATGCCAATTGACCTAGAATCATGAAATTTGACAAGAAGTAATGTCTTATAGTAAAGGGAAGTAAAATAGGTATTACACAAGTAAAAGGAAAAATTCGAGAACTGTAACTCCGTAGTTATAAACTTAATTTAATATTCCATGCTACGGAACCCTTGGTGTGCGAGTTAGACTCGCGCTTGACCGATTTTATTTTATTTTCTCCTGCTATTTCGAAATACATATGTAGGTATATTCAATTTTGTATAACGTAAGTAAAAAAAATAAGACTTATAATTTCAAATTGCTTTCATTCTTTACGTACTGCTATAAAAACTACGAGTATATGTTAGTCGTATCTACTATCTAAATACATATATTGTAGTAGGGGAGCCCAAGAGGGGATTTTTGTAGTTACTCAAGCGCGGCAGATTAACATAAAAGAGGTTACCTTGCACTCTATTGAGTACTTTCACCATAATATAAGTCTTCTATATAAAGGGGCGCGTCTAAGGAAGCCGATTAAAATAATTAAAAAATGTTTTGATAAGGTAGAAATACTTGAAACCGTCAGATTAAGGTGTGGTAGGCTAGTCACATCCTGAAAAGTGTCCAATTCAATAATCTGCCGATTTGCACAAGCCGAAGAGGCAAAAATCATCATAAACTTTATAGTCGAGTAACTACAAAAATCCCCTCTTGGGCTCCCCTATTATTGCAAATCACCTATGTATGATCAGGTGACATCGGCGGCGCATTCCCGCCGTAGCAGGAAATTTAAAACTTTGATCAACTGATTTAATGTCGTATGTCCTTGCATTTGCCTCTCACTCGTATAACGTAACAACAACTATCTAGAAATAGAGCAAGATATTTATTATTATTCGCTTCTTTGTCATTTTTCCAACTTTAAAATTTTGGTATTACATTGCATTTTTATTATTAAAAATTATCAGTTGTCTATTTATAGGTAGAGCATAAGTAGCTATGTATTCTAATATATGTAAATATATGTAGGTATATGATTATGTCTAGGTATAAATAAAATCATTAAAAATAAAATATTGAAATGTAGTACAAAGGTGTATGTAAAAATGTACTTATATATGTATGTATACATATGAAATATAAGTCTTTGTGTATTTTCGTTTCGTAGATCTGTCATAGTAAATAATTACTTTTCAGAAAGTTCAACAACAGCCTTAACAATTCTATGTATTTTGTTCAACCCAATTATGTTTGACTCTTAATATTTGTACGAGTAAGGTCATTCTTATTTATATTTTTAAATTTATTAATAATTAGCATACTGAAAGGCACTCTATTTTTATGTAACATACTCAGCAAATATAATGCATTCAGGGTGATACAACAAAAGTCAAATAGGAACATACTTCGACTACTTATTAAAAAAATATTAACTCAAAAAATGTACAACGTATAACATACGTAACTTTAACAATCGCGCAGTTGCATGTAAAATAAATGTAGAGCCGTTTTAGACAACGAGCCATACTAATATTATAAATGTGAAAGTGTGTTTGTTTGTCTTTCTTTCACGTCGAAATGGAATGACAGATTGGCTTGATTTTTGGTGTGAAGATATTTGTAGAGCTGGAAAGTGACATAGGCTACTTTTTATTGCGGAAAATCATCTCATTCTCGCAGGAAATATACATTACATTACAACCCAAAAAAATATTTATGATCAGAATTGAACTTGAAACTTGGTATTAATGCTCTTCAATACAATTAAATAAATACTTGTTGTAGCATTTTTCGAAATTTATCCTATAAGGGGGTAAAATAGGATAAAAGATTGTATGAAACCAACTTGTATAGAGATTTTTTTTGTAGTTTTAGTGCGAGCAAAGCCGCGGGTTCTGATAGTTGATTATAAAAACATCTTAGTTATTTTTAATTAATAAGTACTTAATATAACAAAGATGGAAGTACCTAATCATTAAATCATAATGTTAGTTAATATCGAATAAAAATTAAATTAAAGCGTAGGCAACTTGCGAGTTAAGCTTCTGCTCTCCGGCCCACACACAAAGCGGTTCAGTTAAAGTCCACGGCCAACAACTGTTTGACCTTTTTCTAACGGCTGCAACAATACACCTGTACTTTACAAATGATTTTTGTTATTTCGGTATATCGCCAGTGAGAGTGGAAGTGTGTCAGCGGACGGTAACGGCGCCGGCCGCAGAGTGATCCGTGATCCGGGTCGTTGCGAGTTCGCTGACCACAACCCTACTTATTTATGTACTATTCTTTCGTCTACTTACTTTGTTATTTGATCAATTTACAAATAATCATCTAAGAATAAAATAATGATTCATACTCAATATTTTTTACTGAGTCATCGATGTAATGCTAATAGGCTAGAATTATGTATATTTAAGATGTTGTGTAAAAAAATCGAAAACCAGTTGAAAATGTTGCAACATGGCGAACAAATTTTAAAAGTTCACGGACTTTGTAAATCAAATAAGTCACGAAACTTTATCTTTATTAAAGTCGGATCGATCCGATTTGAATTTAAAAATCTCTCACACTATCATTAAACTCTTAAGTCTATAATAATATAACATCGGCAAACTACACTTTACATAATTAACAAAAAATAATACTTATTTTATAATATTAAATGAGTAATTCTTGTATTCGTATAGGTATATACATACATATAGATTCATTTCGTGTATATCGAAAACGGCTAACGATTTTGATCAAATTTTCTATTTACCTACCTAAGGTGTTGCTTTTTAAGTTTGTCTACAAGTATAGGTGTTTTTTCGCAATATTTACCTCACTATCGAAAAATGCCGATTTTATAAAACGCCGAGCAAAGCGGTCGCCCAGGTACTAATAAAATAATATAAGAAGTTTAATCTATACTATATTATAAAGAGGTAAAGTTTGTGAGATTGTGAGTTTGTGACGTTGTAG